CTGGGCCCGGGATGGGCCTGGCCAGGATCGGTGTATGGGCGTAGTTCGAGGGGGCCAGGGCTGGATGCGCCTCGAAATGCTTGCCAGAGCGCACCTCGGCAGAGGTCTGCGGATGAGCGGTATCGATACGTTTTTGCTCGCGCACTGGCGGACCCCGGTCGCCCCCCCGGGGCAGCGAGGGCGGCCAGTCTCGGGTACACAGGAGCGCCCCTCCTCGCAGAAGTGGCCGGTCTGATGCAGGGCCCCCCCCGTCCAGCAATGGCCTGTGCGTTCGGGTTTGGCCTCCCCGCGCCCCCCTGAAGCCGCGCACCAAAGGTAACCTTTGCATTATTATCAGGGGCAACGCTAGGGGGAGATAGGCTCAGTGGGGGACGCATCGACCCACAATCTCCCACAGATCGCCGATAGGAGCCCGATGGCCCACCCCGCCCAAGAACGTGCGGATTCGCTTTGGGGGGTATATCGCCGATCTATCCAGCTGCCTGCGGCAAACCCCGCCACCGCGCCTGTGCAACAGCGCAGCAGGAAAGATGCTGAGTGTGGGAACTGCGCAAGTCCGACGAGTAATCTGCATTTGGGCGGGTCGTGATCGCGACCTCGTGCTCGTCCGCGCGGAAATGATGATGATGAGGAGGAGGAGGAGGAGGAGGAGGAGGAGGAGAAAGAGAGGGAGGAGGAGGAAGCCATTGATTTCCCATGGGTGTTTGAACGATGTTGAGGCTCTGGCATGTTTAGGGTTCCGACCGCTCAAGACAGCCCAAGAGGCCTCTACTCTATGGGCCGTCTTGTTGCCCTCTTGGAGCATTTCAGAACCGTCTTGTGTCCTTCCTTGGGAGCCCCGTGGGCGATGTTGGGGTCATCTTGGGCCGACTTGAGGCTCTTTTGAGGGCCTCTTCGATTGTCTTGAGGCTATCGTGGAGGCCTCTTGGAAACCTCTTGGACCGTTGTGGTTGGTCGGAAACCCGAACAGGCGAGAACCTCACAATCTTTCATCAAACCGTAGGAAATTAATGGTTGTGCCCCCCTCGGGCTCTCCAGGAAGGCCTCTTGGAGCTCTCTCGGGCCGTCTTGGGGGCCTCTTAGGCCGTCTTGAGGCTTTGGGGCTATCTTGAGCCGGTTTGAGGCCCCCTTGAGGGGATCTTGAGCTGTCTTCAGCCAGTTTGAGCCGTTCTGTTGTCGTAATGGCTGTCTTGGAAGCCGTCTTCGAGGCCATCTTGGCCGTGCTTGGAGGCCGATACGACCGCCAGAGCAATTTCAGAAGGAGCGATTTTGTGAGGGTGGCGTGCCAGCTGGGGGGGGAGGGGGGGCCCTGGTAAAATGTTACAAATGACGGAAAGAGCGCTAGCGAGAGAAGTTCTGCATAGCGGGGGGGGGTCTGGGGGGGGGGGTCTGGACCGGGCCTTTTTCCTAACGCGCCCTCTGGGGCCATGTTGGCGACTTCTTCAGCCCAGGACGGTCCAGGAGACGCCCAAAAGGCCCCAAGACGGCTCAAGGTACCTCCAAGATGACCCAAGAGACGCCCAAGAGGCCCCAAGACAGCCCAAGAGCGCTCCAAAAAGGGCGAAGATGGCTCAAAGACGGTCTGAGGAGCCCCGCAGAAGGCACAAGAGGCCTTCACGAGGATTTCCAAGAGGGACTCCCTTAAGCTTTTGGGGGATTTTAAGGTTCCCGCCTTTTCGGATTGAAAACGGCCACACACGGCCCTGGGGGCCTCCGAGGTCGCCCCCAAACCTTCCCCAGAGGCTCCCAAACGGCGCCTCAAGACGGCCCAGGAGAGCCCCAAGACGAGCCAAGGAGGGCCCCTCAGAGGCCCAAGAGCCTCCCAGGAGAGCCCCGAGAGTGCCACAGGAGGCTCACAAGAGGCCCAATCCCCCAAAGACGGTCCGATAGGGACCCAGAAGGCACCCAACCGGTGCGAAAGACCCCCCCAAAAGGCCTCCTCCGAGATGCCTCCAAAAGCCGTTTACCGGACCCCACCAGAGCGAACCGTGCCGTCAAACGCTCTGACTGCCAAGGCTCTTCGGAGCGGACGGTGACATAGCAACTCCGATCACCACGGCGGCCATTTTACCGTGACTCGCACCCCAGCGTGCTCCAACAAGAATGCATGGCAATCCCTATATCCAAATCGCTGCCGCGTAAACGGCCGCTGAACCCCCGAGACCGTGTGAAACATCCGCTCCACGGACCCGCTCTTCCCGTTCCCGTGCTGGCCCAGGTCCTCCCAGACAACAGACGAGCATTCTCACGCGCCCGCTGCGTGCAGGCACGGTGGCGGGTCGGCGATGTGTCGCCGATTCCAGGTCGATGGCTCCCCCCCCTGAGCTGAGCCGGTCCCCCCCCCTAGCGTTGCCCCTCAATTTGGGGTCATTTTTGCGTGCAGCCGACTGTGGGGTTGGCCACGGTGAGGGCGGGTCCCATGGGCAGAGGGGCCCCCAAGGTGCGTCGTTGTTCTCTGCCTCCAGACAAACCCTCCTCCCTGGACCCTCCTGCAGGGGCCGTCACAGTGCGCCTCGGAACGAGGGGCCGTTCCAAGAGGGAGCGGCCTCGTCTTATCCAGGGGCCCGTTTCTCAGGATACAATTCCGAGGAGGTTCAATTCAGCATCAGCGCGGGTATAATTATATCCATAGTCGACGACAAGCCTAATCCAGCCTAGTCCCGTCGAATTCCGTGTGATCCGTCTTATGCAATTTGGTTCAATCCTGGGCATAATGTTGGTTTTCTTCCAGGCTGATCCTGTTTAGTAACTTTCCAACTCGATCTAGCAGCTTTGGAAATGTCTTACGATATCCCCCAGAATATTCCAATCAGAACAAGCAACACGGAGATAAATATTCGGAGCTCCGCGCGCATCAGTTGGATCGGCGTTTGAAACGCCCTTCCCGGCGCGCGGAGCGCGCCAGGGGCGGCGCTGGAGGCAGCGCCGATCCAAGATATCCGCGCGGAGCTCCGAAAGTTTAGATCTATGCAGATGTGTCTCCTTTTAAAGTTGCCTCCTGACGTTTTCACCACGGGCCCTCATGCGAGATCCGGGCAGCGAGATCTACACAGATTCACTGCCCCCCCCGGCCTGGCCGATCCTGTGGCAAAGATGGGCTATAGGCATGGGACAATGGATATGTATTTGAGCCGACGATCGACTACATCATTGATTTACCCCAGAATGAGTCTTGCCGTCGAACCTGCGAAAACAGACGCAGAATGTTCCGCAACTCGACGGGGCATTCTGCGAGAGGTCGCCCAATCTCGTGCCCTCGCACTCGATCCGTAAATTTGTAGATCCTACTCGATGTAGACCGTCGAATCCGATGATAAGGATGGGCAACCTTCCCAAGGGTGCCCTTGCCTCCTTGCCTCTTCGGTCCATCCTTCCCCGCTCTCGATTGCCAGCATCGCTCGAATTGCTTTGACATGGGCGTCTGAGGGGCTTGCATCCTCATCGCGCAACAGGAGCAGAACAGGCATGCTCATGTGCATGGCTGTTCCTGCGGAAAGGTGCGGAAACCGACATGCTATCGAGCACGTCGGAACATGGACCGTGACAGGCCAGTATCGGGAAAGGGATTCGGAGGTTGGAACAAAAAACACCTTGTTGAGTCGATTCGTGAATTGCACGATTCCGCTTCTCGAGAGGGCGTTGCGGCCGCAGGCCTGCGCCCGCGGGGTCTGGTCCCGTGTCGGAGTCACCAGAGGGTGTTTTGCTCATGGGATTCTGCACACCCCCGAGGCACTCGTGCGAGCGGGAAACTGGCTCGGGCGAGCTGGCCCGAGGGCGCTTCGAGGTCCATCTTCGGCCGAGGAGAGCTGAAGAGCAGTTGGAGGAGCAGCAGCAGCAGCGGGAGGCGCCGAGAAGGCTTCTCATGAAGGCAGGAGGGTTTCGAGATCAGCCCCTCGCCTGCTTAGAAGGCCCGCCCCCCACCCCGCCCCACCAAGAGACCACAGGCTTTTCAGTAAAGGCTCCTCATACAAGCAGGAGGTATTGGAAAGAAGCCCTCCGCCCTTCGAGACGGCAGCCGCGCCCCGCCCTTTTTTCTGCCAGGAGCGAAACATGGACTATGCGCACCTAAGCTCAGATGGGCCTCGAGAGAGAGAGAGAGGGCGCATTGTCGGACGGGGCTAGGACGAACCATCCGTTCCAGAGCGTTCCGGAGCGCTCTTAGAGCGCTCCGGAGCGCTTTGAGCAGGCCGCGGCGCCCGAGACATCCTCCAGAACAGCCGGATCTCAGAGATTCTCGATTTAGCTTCACCCAATGTATCCTCGTCTTGGCCTCGTCTTACATTGAGCAGGCGATCGTGGCATGAGGGCGGGATCGCGAGCTAGGGAGCGCATCCACGTGTGCGGCTGGGCGTGTGCGCCCTCTTTGAGGCTCCCTCGTCTGCGCGCCGCCTGCCCCTCCAAGCAGCAATCGCTCCCCTTCTCGGGGGTCCTCATAGGTGTCTCTGGACTCCGACCCCCTCGGGTAGTGAAAAAAACATCACGTTTTGTTGTTCTACTCTCTTCGGCAGCCCGGGGGCCTTACGGGGCCGATGAAACACGACTCGGGTGGCCAAGCATGAGAGTTGTTGTTCGACCCAGGTTCTCAAGTTATGGTTCATTGGAATTTCGCGGGATTTAGCAGGTGTTCCTGTGGGAATGCTGTGTGATTTCGTGGGGTCGCACATAGTATGTAGCGGGATCTAGTGGGTCTAGTGGGGGCCACCGAATCTCACTAGCTAGTCGCTCGTGCGACTACCTGAGGCCCCCACGCCTGGCCACCTCGGAAACGCTGGTCCTGGGGAAGGGGTTCTGACATCTGAGGGTCCAATGTGTAAGCAAGACCATGAGGAGGAGGAGGAGGAGGAGGAGGAGGAGGAGGAGGAGGAGGAGGAGGAGGACGAGTAGGAGGAGGAGGAGGAGGAGGAAGAGTACGAGGAGGAGGAGGAGGAGGAGGAGGAGGAAGAGATCGGAGCCCAGTTCTGCGCCCGCCCTTTGGAGCGCCACGCCCCATGGGTGCCCCCCGTGGGCCTCGTGCGAGTGCCCACGGAGGGCCTGCGGCCTCCCCAGAGACTCTGTGTGCACCCTTGGCCCGCTGGGCGCCGTGGCCTCCCGGGGAGGAGCTCGCAGCTCGCCGCGCAGGGCCCGAGCCGGCCTCCCTCCCCGCGCGGCAGCGTTCTCTCGCGCTCCTTCCCCGACGCGCGCGAGGCCGTAGCGGCCGCTCCGAGGGAGCGCGGCGGCGCCCCGCCGGGCGCCATGGCCGCGGCACCCCGCCGGACGCGGGCCCTGTGCATCGCCCTGGGCGTGGCCCCGCGGGCGCCTGCCGCCCTCTCGGAGGTCGACTGCTGGGCAGGGCTGCCGGGGAGGCCGAAGGCGTGGCACCTGGCGTGCTGCGAGCTCGGGGGCTGGCAGGACTGCTGGACGGAGGAGCTCACCCAGGACAGGCGCCGCGCACCTTGCGCGATCGGGATGGGGAGGGTTCTGTCGGTCCTCGTCGGCTCTTGGTCGTTTTGCGGCCTCTTAGATGCGTTCCAGCAGCTGCGCCTCGCCGAGAGCGCTCATGGGGGTGCCTGGATGGATCGTTCCGAACGGCCGCCCGGGGCCCGAGCTGGGACCCGGAAGCCACCAAGCGTCGTCGCGCATCACGTGGGGCAGGGTTGGCCGTCCGTCCAGTGGTCGGCGGCATGGGGCTGCCGGGTGGGCACTTCTGCCGCCCAACGCAGGTAGTTATTTTCACTAATGATGTGTTCACTCTTCGTCCATTCGTTCTCCTTGTAGATAACTCCTCCCAGGCTCACCCCGAAGCTATTCGAAGGGGCGTGCCAGGCGTTTCGTCTGAGACTTCCTACAATCTATGATCCTGATGCTCAAACGTTGACAACAGCTTCACAGACGGAGAGCGGGTGGTTTTCAAAATGTGGCTCTCGCCTTAGTGCCGCGCGCATTCGGATTTACACATGTGTGACAGTTTCACGGATTGAGGGCGGGTGGCTTTCAAAATGTCGTTCTTGTTTCAGCGCCGCGCATATTCTTTTCAGAAATGTGCAACAGTTTCACGGATTCAGGGCAGTTCGTTTTTAGAATGTGGTTCTCGTTTTAGCGCCGCGCACATTCGTCGTTAGAAATTGCAATAGTTTCACAGGTTGAGGCCGGGTGGTTTTCAAAATGTGGTTCTTGCTTCAGCGCGGCGTGCATTTGCTCCCAACCTTCCTTGGTTGGGTATTCGTTTCGAATAGAGAATTGCTCGCGCGTCCTTCCTTCCTTCCTCCCGCCTCCCTCTTGTCTCCGTTTGCCTTGTGCGTATCTCTTGTGTGTGCATCTTGCTTGCGGTACCTCTCGTGTGTGCATCTTGCTTGGGGGCCGCGATTTGCCAAACTGTCGCCACTTTCGAGGGCTGCTGGGGGGGACAGCATAATGGGTGGCCGCCGCAGACCCAACTTTGACCTCGCCATCCCGGGGGGACAGCGATTAGCGAAGTTGTCGCCATTTTCGAGGGCTGCTTAGAGGGACAGCATAGTTGGAAGCCGCCGCAGATCCAAAGTAGAACTCGCCATCCCTGGGGGCCTGCGATGTGCGAGACTGTCGCCCCTTTCGAGGGCTGCTTAGAGGGCCAGCATAGTTGGTAGCCGCCGCAGATCCTTATCAGACCTCGCCATCCCTGGGGGGCTGCGATTTGCGAAACCGTCGCCACTTTCGAAGGCTTCTTGGGAGGCCAGCATAGTGGGTAGCCGCCGCAGATCCAAAGTAGACCTCGCCGTCTCTGGGGGGTTGCGATTTGCGAGACTGTCGCCCCTTTCGAGGGCTGCTGGGGGGCCAGCATAGTGGGTAGCCGCCGCAGATCCAAAGTATACCTCGCCGTCTCTGGGGGGCTGCGATTTGCGAAACCGTCGCCACTTTCGAAGGCTGCTTGGGTGGCCAGCAATACTGGGTAGCCGCCGCAGTTCCAAAGGATACCTCGCCATCCTCGGGGCCGGGGCTGCGATTTGCGAAACCGTCACCACTTTCGAGGGCTGCTTGGGGGCGCAGCATAGTGGGTAGCCGCCGCAGATCCAAAGTAGACCTCGACATCCCTGGGGGGGGGACTGCGATTTGCGAGACTGTCGCCATTTTCGATGGCTGCTGGGGGGAAGAGCGTAGCGGGCAGCCGCCGCAGATCCGAAGTAGACCTCGCCATCCCTGGGGGGGGGGGCTGCGATTTGCGAGATTGTCGCCACTTTCGAGGGCTGCTCGGGGGGCAGCATAGCGATTTGCGAAACTGTCGCCACTTTCCAGGGCTGCTGGTGGGTCCAGCGGAGTGAGGCACCGCGCAGATCTGAGCGAGGCCTCGCCGTCCCCGGGGGGCTGCGATTTGAGAAACTGTCGCCCCTTTCAAGGGCTTTTGGCGGGTCGAGCGGAATGAGGCACCGCGCAGATCTGAGCGGGACCTCGCCGTCCTTGGGGAGCTACGATCTGCGAAACCGTCGCTACTTTCAAAGGCTGGTGGCGGGTCCAGCGGTGAGAGGCACCATTCTCATCTGAGCGGGGCCTCGCAATCCTTGCGGGGCTGCGAGCCTCACGAATGCCACTCGCAGAAGTGTATGCGCCCATGTCACGTCATCACTTCCGTATATCGTCCCCCAAGCTATTCATGCCCCGCATTGCGCAGGTGTTGGGTACGTCGCCAGTGTTTTTGTCCAAATATGATAGAGCGTCACGGATTGTGGGCGTTTATTTTCCAACATGTGGTCTTCATTTTGCGTTGCGCACATTCGTCGTAAACGGTTGCAAGAGTTGCATTGGCTGCCGTGGTCAAAGTACAATGAAAGAGTTTTCTCTGCTCGAGTCAGTGCTGTCAGGGCGCAACGGTTCCATGAAGAGCCATGTTGAAGTCCTTGAAATGGTGCTTTGGCACGACTCCTCAGGATCGCCAAGATGTAGCAGTCAGGTTAATTCGTGGCGTTGAAGTCCTCACAACGGTGTTGTGGCACGCTTCAGGATGTTCACGCAGCTGCCCCCCAACGGCAAACTTCCCTCAGTGGAAATGACCCCTTGCAAGGGCATATGAAGAGGGATCTTGAGGGAGGGCGCGTTTCAGCATTACTGGTGAGTCTCCGATTTATATTGGTCGTCTTTCTCCTCCTCGTCCTCCAGAAGGTGGGGGGAGGGCGTCCTCGGAGGACAGGGGGCCTCCTCAGGAGGGCCATCGGGCCCCTGAGGAGCCCCTATATCGGGAGCCGGGGGCGCTTCTGATCAGGGACGCTCCCCGCCTTCTGCGAAGCCCCCCCGCCAGGAGGCCGCCCCCCTCTCGCGCCACCCCCCCCCCCCGTGCGTACGCTGGTGCGGTTTTCGCAGTGAGCGGCCCCAGTGGTTCGGGGGCGACGATCGGGGCGCATAGCCCAGGGGAGAACAATACCTTCAGGGGCGAATAGCTCAGGGTATCCAGGGGCACCGATGGTCCATGCCTTCGGCCAGGCTCCCGATCGAATGCGTGTAATGCCCGCTTCGCCCCTAGTGAGCATTCTTTTATTATTTGTTGTTGCTTTCGGCGGAACGCCCCTCCCCCCCCCTCCCCCCCCCCCCCGTAGAGAAGTTCTGGGCTGATTTTGGCACCTGCTTCCATCGATCGGACGAACTACAGGGGCCGGCGCCCCCCCCCCCTCCCCCGGTAGAAACTCGAATCGTTGATGTGTGCAACTGTGCGCATTTTATCGTGCTACTCTTCTGGAACCACAACGAAAGGGCTCAGGGGCGCCAGACCCGATCGCCAGAAAGCATGCCTCCGGCTGGGCCCTCCCCTGTTATGCCAGCGACGGCCTCGTGGAATCATGAATAGGTGATCCCTAGCAATTCTGGCACAGGCTTGCCAAATCACGCATAGCCTTGGCGCAGCCCCGCGCAGCCGCTGCGCGATTCCCCCATGGGGGGTCTCCCCTAGGATTCCCTCATCGGTATCTCCCACAGGATTCCCCACATGATTCAATCGGAGGCATTGACTACGGGCCGAGAGCCGGACACCCCCCCCCGCCCCCCATGCGCCTAAAGCCGGAACCCAGAATAAAAAAATGCGTCGCCCCCGAGTCTTCCCGACCCCTTGCCCGGGGCCATGTCTGACTCCCCGCGGGCCAGATAGCGGGCCCTGGAGTGGAGCGTTGCGTGGTAATGCGGAGGGGGGTGAAGAAGAGTGCAGGCTCGCACGGAATGCTTGTCGGGACGCTCCAGATGCGCTCCCGCTCGTGCCGCTCTCACGGAGCGCCTGTCGGGCCGCTGCGGCAGCGCTCCCGTTCGCGCAGGCTCGCACGGAATGCTTGGCGGGCCGCTCCAGCGGTGCTCCCGCCCGTGCCGGCTCGCACGGAGCGCTTGTCGGGCCGCTCCAGAAGTGCTCCCGCTCGTGCAGGCTCGCATGGAATGCTTGTCAGGCCGCTCCGGGGGAGCTCCCGCCCGTGCAGGCTCGCACGGAGCGCTTGCCAGACCCCTCCCTCAAGGGGGCCCAAAAGGGGCACGAAGTGTGCGCGTTTTTCCCGCCCCCCCACCCCGACGAAGTAGCCAACGCGGCACAGGGGACTGCCTGAAGAGGAGGAGGAGGAAGAGGAGGAGGAGGAGGAGGAGAAGGAGGAGGAGGAGGGCATGTTCGCCGCTCGTCGCTCATCGCCCACCATCAAGAAACGCCCGACGGAGGCCGACGTCAAGGAGAAGCGCCCGGAAAAAAAAACGCATCAGCAACACAAGAAGACGAAACCGTTTGCGCCGACACTAGCGCGTCGGCCTGCCGCGTAGGATGGCGCGTGACCGCCCTCGTCTCCAATACTGCGTACCGCGCTGGCTTCTTACATAAACCACCGCGTAAGGTTGCTATGCCATCTCCCGGAAGACCCAGTTTGGATAATCGCCCAAATCTCGTCAGGGGTGTGGGCCCTCGCGCGCGCCTGCGGCAGAGGAGCTGTGCTGCAACCACAGCGCCGCGCCGGGGGAGCGCCCCTCGGACGGCGCCGTCCCGGAGATGAGCGCGGAGGACCGGAGGGCGCCAACGGTGCCCCCTGGCCGTTGAGAGCAGGTACGGTCGGGCCGAGGTACATGATTGAGGTCGAGGTCGGCTCGGGGAGGGTAGCCTGATGTTATTCGTGTTAGTTGGATGTTCTTGTTCATCCTGGGGTCGGGAGCGGCAGAAAGACGCACACGTACATGAATCCACGTTGTTTTCGAAAATACGCATTGCGCGAACGTTCGTATTACGCGGTTGGTCTCGCGGATTGGAGGGCCGTGTTCATGTACGTGGTTGGGCGTGTGCGTCTTGTGTGGCGCCATTTGTACCTCCTGGTCGTTGCAAGTAGGTACGGTCGGGCCGAGGTATATAAGATCGAGGTCGGTTCCCATAGATCCACCGTATCGAAAACGTCATCACGGGTTGTTTGCTTGTCTCTGTCGGTCTTTAGAGGCCTTCGCTGGGCCACGAGACCGTCACATAACGACTCAGGACGAAAAACCAGCCCTGGAGAAAGGGTCGGGATTTCCAGGGACCCCGCAATTGGAAAAAAACACGACATCGGATCCCTGGGTTGGGGTGGGTGCCGTGATCCTCTGATCCTGGAGGAGAGGTACTCTCAAATGTCCTTCGGTTTGGCTGGCGGAGGGTCCCATGCTCTTGAAGAATGGGCTTCTGTCCCAGGTCCAGCCGTGTTTTTGGATTTCCAGATCCCACTCTATTGTATGTGCCTTCCTACTTCAAGGATCGAGCGGTTGTTCCTCTTCCCTCCTCCGAAGGGGGTGGGCGGAAGCGCAATATATTCGCAACGCTGTCCTATTTCATATTTCTACAAGTAGTGTCTGCAGTTCCCCCGAACCCCCTCAGGAACCCCCATTCGGGTTTTTGTTCGGATGTTGTCTCTCTAGTTGTGTGTTTTCTTTCTGTGGTTGTCGGGGATTCCTATTGTCCCTTCCCCTCGGCTCTGGGGGCGAGCCCCCCGAGCACCAGAAACACTCGGGTGTTTTTGTCTGTGGCCATCCCAAACTCTGTGAATGGGGAGCCCCCTGTGAAAAAAACACGCTGCTTTCTACAGTGTTTCAATTGCGTTTTAATGTTATTTTTGTGTATGGGTGGTTGTTGTCGGTTGTTGGTATGCTTGTCAAGCAAATCGTGCTGTTTTTACGGGGGTGGGCGGGACCCCCCCCAAATCCCACCCCCAAGTTCCCCCCCTCCCTGCGCCACCCTCTACTAGACAAGGCCCCTCCCCAAGCTGGTGAAAACAGCATCCCTGGCACTAGACGTGCCCCTCTGCCGTGCGCCACCCTCTGCAGGACGAGACCCCTCCTCAAGCTGATTGAAACAGCATCCTTGGTACCAGACGTGCCTCTGTGCCGTGCGCCGCCCGCTGCTGGACGAGTCTCCTTCCCCAAGCCGTTTGAACAAAGCATCTTTGGTGCTAAATGTGTTCCTCTTCTGCGCCCGGCCCGCTCCCCGAACTGATTAAAACAGCATCTTTGGTACTAGACGCGCCCCTCTGCTGCGCACCGCTTCGCGCTAGACTTGCCCCTGCGCCGTCTCCTCCCCAAGCTGATAAAAAAACACACAACCTCCTCGGCACTAGACGTGCCCCTCTGACGTTCGCCGCCCTCGGCTGGACGAGAACCCTTCCCAAGCTCTTTCAAGAGCGTCCTTGGTACCAGACGTGCCCCAGTGCCGTGAACCGCCCGCTGCTAGACGAGGCCCCTCCCCAAGCTGTTCGACTACATCCTTGGTACTAGACGTGCTCCTGTGCCGAGCGCCACCCGCTGCTAGATGAGGCCCCCACCCCGAGCTGAATGTTGAAACATGCTTGGTACTCGACGTGCCTCTCTTCTGCACGCCACCCGCTGCTAGACAAGGCCCCTCCCCAAGTTGATTAAAATAGCATCTGTGGTACTAGATTTACTAGATGTGCCCCTCTGCTGTGCACCGCCCGCTGCTAGACGAGGCCCTTTCCACAAGAATGTTTCCTTGATGCTCGGCGCTGCCCTCTGCCGTGCGCCACCCGCTGCAGGACGAGGCCCCTCCCAAGGCGTCCCCGATGCGTTCGGACTCCGATTGGGGAGACTCTCTGGTCCGGAAGGGAAGCCGGACTCTCCAACAATTTCATTTAATCTGGTATTTTGGGAAGTTCCAGACCGGAAACCTCCCGATCCACCCCCGAAAACGCCCTTGAAAGCAGGGTTGGTGAAAGGAGGTATTGGGGAGATCCAGGAGGGACCCCCCCAGTGGGGAAACCCCCTTGAACCTTCCAGAACCTCCGTGAGGGTGGTTTTTGGAGAGTCGGGCGGGAAAACCTTCTTGAAAACTACATGGGGGGGCCTTCCTGGTGGGTCTAGGGAAACTCCAACTTTTTTTTGATATATGATACCGGAGAAAAGTCCCAATCAGACTCTGTTTAGGGCTGTAGGGCTATGAGGCTATAGGGCTGGCTATAGCGCTATAGGGCTATAAAGCTATGGGTCTATAGGGCTATAAGGCTACAGGGATATAGGGCCATAGGGCCATTGGTCTATGTATATATATATATATAGAGAGAGATGTGTTGCTATAGGGCTATATGAATATACAACTATAATGCTAAAAGGCTATAGGGCTATGGAGCTATGGAGCTAGTGGGGTGATGGGGCTATAGGGCTATAGGGCTGTAGGGTTATAGGGCTATAGGGCTATAAGGCTATAAGGCTGTAGGGCAGTAGGGCTATAGGTCTACCGGGCACCCAGGCGTGCCACCGAATTCGGCGCCATACCTCACCTAAACATATGAATCCGCTAGGACTCCTGCTCTGATTGGGGTTAACACAGAGAGAACACATTGAAATATTAAGAAAACGAATTGTGGTTCCCAGGGGGCTTTCCCGAATTGCGATTTTTACTGTGGTTTTGTTGGACCTCCCCGAAAAGGCTTCTGTAAAAAAGCAAACATTTTTTTGAAAACAGTCAGGGGGCGCCGCTTGCTGCCCGCCCTAGCGACGAGCGGCGGCCCTGGCCCTCCCTCTTGGCTCACCCTGTCCACCCGGGCAGTGGGAGCCGCCCCCCGACTCCTTCCGCGCGCTGCCGCGGCGCCTGGGCTGATGCCTGCAGCCACCTCGCGCGAGGGTTCCTGGGCCTGGTCTTGCCGCCCGCTCCCCCTCGCTGTCCCTCCACGTGCCGCCATGGCGCCGGGCTGCTGCTTTCAGCCGCCACGCTGGGGTGCCGAGCTTGGTCTTGCCGCACGCCACCCTCCGCCAGCCCTGCATTTTGCTGGGCCCCGCCCCCCCTTGGCGACACCTTTTCGCCGCCGCCCCGGCGCTCCCACATGGGGAACGCGCAGCCACCGCCTGGCGACCTGGGCTTCTGATTGCATCGCACCCTTGGCCCGCTGGACTCTTTCTGGTACTGCACTGCGCCCCGCCGCCGCTGGAACCCCAGCGCAGCAGCCGCCGCCGCCCCTGCCAGCGGGGCCGGCCGCGCCACTCTCAATGCTTACCAGCCAATCGGGACCGAACCCACCGCGCCTCTGGAGAGCGTCGAGGGCTGCGGTCCGCGGCAGCCCATGGACGGGCGCGCGTTGAGTTCTTTGTTGGGCGCGGGCAGAAGCGAGATGAACCGACGTATGCCAGCGCGTCCGCAGCGCTTGAGGCTGGTGATTCCGTCGATGGTTATAGCGCGCGCGAGCTTGGCGGCTCTCATTGCCGGCGTTGCCAGACAGGGAATTGCAAGTCCACGCTCGCCCCTCAGGGCCTGGTCCCGTTCCGAACAAACACTGCTGTCCATTTAAATATTTAGTGCGGTGTGCCTTTGGAGGCTTCGCAATGGCTCGGCGCTGATCGGGGATTCCTTGCAGCGCGAGGCGGTGCGAGCATCGCGCGGGCGCGTTGGCGGGTGATCCCGCTAACTGCTTGGCGCAGCTTGTATTTTTGTGATTGTCGTCTTGCGCGTGCAATGTGCCCGGTGTGGCCACTGTGCCTCGCGTGCCTGGCGCCCCGCTGGTTTGCCTGTCGCGCGCGCGGCGCGCGCGCGCTTGCCGCGGGTTGCCTTCGATGTATTTTTGCTTGTGTTCCCTGCCCTCCCGCATTTTCGGCCCTCGCTTTGAATTCGCGGCGCTTCGCGCCATATCCTTTCTCCTCTGCTCTCCCCCCCTCTCCTCGTCTTCCTCTTCCTGATATTGTTCCTCCCCGCTTCGTTTCATCCTTGTCCGTCCCCTTCCTTTTTGCGCGGTGGGCTTTCGGTTTGTAGCCGCGCCGAGGCAATTTCAGCACGCCCTTCGCGCCGCGCGCTGTTCGTTGTCCCCATGCGGCTTGACGTTGAAAATCCCCGTGGTGTAAATCGCATGCTGACGCCGCAACAAGTCTAGCACGCGTTATGGCCCCGTGCGCATCCTTGCCGACGCGTCGTGGTCGCGCGCCGCCTCGCCGACCATTCCAAAACCATTTTCACAATGTCGGTTGCCTCATAAGGAGCTCAACCGATATCCCACAGAACACAGGCCGCACGCCGCCGCCCAGACTCTTTGAGGGCCGTTTCTCTCGCGGTTCGCGTCTCCATATTTTTGGACTTCCATTGAAGGCCCCTGCGGCACAGGCCGCGAGCCGCGTCCGGGCCATTTCAACGCGCCCGCCGCGCCATTCGTGGCCCCATAGCGACCGCCACCGAATGCTTTGTGGGATAGGCCGTTTGCCACCGCCCAGACCGTTTTAGTTAATTCACTGTACGGTTCGCGGACCCCCGCGGAGCTGTACCAAATGCACTGAGGTTGCGCAGGTCGCATGCCACCGCGCCGACCGTTGCAGCACGCCCATCGAACGGTTCGGCGCCCAATCATACGAAACCCCATCGAAGGCGTTTGTAGCGCAGGGCGCATGCTGCCGCTCAGACTCTTTTGAAACGCCAGCCAGCGCTCCGTGGCAATATGAGGGGTTCCGCCGGAAACGCTGGTCACACAGGCCGCGCGTCGCCGCCCGGGCCATTTCAACAGTCTTCGCACGATCCGCGGCCGCTTGAGGAAACTCCACTGAAGGGTCGTCAGG